AGAAAGTTTTATGTACATTCATCCTCTGGTCTGAGATTTTTGCTATCAAAAAGACAAACACACACAGAAGCATTTACATGATTGTCCCCCATACTCGGTGACAGGAAAATATTTGACTTTACATCATAAAATATTTATTTTGTTCAGCTTTGATTCTTTTTAGTTCCGGGTTTTTTCAACAGATGAAATTAAAGTGAAGTAAACTAAAATAAAGCTCATCTCTTGTTTTGTTCGCAGCATTCGTCCAAGTGAACCAAATGTGGCAGCTCCAATTTGTTTTCCCCTGGACTCTTTGCAAATGAAACTCAAAGATTTGGAAGAAGAAAACAAATCCCTGCGATCTGTGGTACACACACACGCACACAGACATTCAAGCTGTTGAAAATGTGTGTTTCGCTTTAGTTGATGTTTGTGACAGAGGTAGAAATAACTCGAAATGAATCAAAATAACTATTAATCCTTTTTAAGATCTAATTTTGTCAGATGATCGTGTGGAATCTCCTGTTTTAATCTGTTTTTTTGAGCCACTTAGCAGAATGAAAGTCTTTACGATGATTAAAAATGCATGCATGAGGCTAATCATGTTGATACCGTATTTTATTGATATAGTGAAGTGGATAAAAGAAAAATTGTGCAACTTGTAATAGAAGCACTGAATTTGGTACTATGATTTTCTTTGAGGTATTTGTCTAATCTGCCCGACTGACTGAAAATCCAAGATGGCGACCTTTTTCAAGATTTTTTTATTTCTGCACAGTGTTATGGTCCTTATAAGTCCAGGAGTAAATGGCAAGACGCACAACATATGAAGCCCAAACGACTGTATAGTTTTAGACAAAACTTTAATGATCAACCAATCATCTGAACATAAATGTAGACTGGGAGCTCCGGCTAAAACAAACAAAAAGGAAGGGAGAAGTCCCAAACCAGAGTTGATCGTCAGATTCAGGACACTCCCCTGCCCTATGATCCAGGGACTAACTCTGCAACCAAAAACCATTAACTTAAACTAAACCAGTAACCCCCAGTCCCAACAACTAACCAGCTCAACAACAAAACAGTAACAGGTGCAACAACCACAGGTACCTCTGACAGGAGCGGGGCTGGAGAGCAGAACCAACAACCATCAGAACAACGTCTCCTCTGGCCTCCCTCGCTCGTCCAGCAGGCAGAGCTTGGTTCTTTTAAACCGCTTCCAGCCAATCAGCTGTTCAGAGAGAGCAAATGGATTCATTAGATACACTATGACATATGACACAGTGGCATGTCACACACAGTAATCCTATGGTAACGCAATTACTTTATCAATTTAAATTATCTTTTTTTTGTCTTTTTTTTTCTTCTATCTGTAACCTTGTATTATTATGCAAGTAACACATGTTAGTAAATTACTATTAATATAATTAAAATGTTAAATTAACCATCTAGGATGGTTAGATTGATTAGAATTGTTCAGAAGACTCTTGGAAACGACCATGCCAAATTTCGTGCTTTTATCAGATTTTGCATAAATCTTGTGCAAAACTGGTTTTAGCTGCTCCACTAATAACGTGATTATATTTTTTGCAGGCGAGTCATTTGGAGACCGAAACGATCTCGTATGAGGAAAAAGAACAACAGCTTGTCAATGACTGCGTCAAAGAACTGCGTGAGTGTTTAAATCTTTGGACTCTTACAGTTTGTTCATTTTCTTTTTAATGTTAGCCTCTCCTTTAATCTTTAAAATCTCCTTTACCTGTACATTAACACCTGTGGGTGTCTCCAGGTGATGCCAACCTGCAGATCTCCTCTCTGGCAGAAGAGCTGGCCAGAAAGACTGAAGATTCTTCCAGACAGCAGGAAGAAATCACACACCTCTTATCGCAGATAGTAGACCTGCAGAAGAAGGCCAAGCTCGTATGGAAGCTCTGATATCTCTCAGAAACTTATCAAACAATGAGTGCTTTAAAATAAAGTTGACAGTTTTTTTTTCGTTTGTTTGTTTGTTGCTGTTTAGTATGCTGTGGAGAACGAAGAGCTGACGCAGCATTTGGGTGCAGCCAAGGATGCTCAGAGACAGCTCACTGCTGAGGTAAAGCAAACCTACAAACCATTACTTCGTTTCTAAATTGATATTTTGTCATAAAATATCTTTAGAAGAGCTTTCCGTGTTTAAGAAGAAAATTCAATACAATTCAGTTTATTTTTATAGCGCCAGGTCACAACAGAAGTCATCTCAGTTGCTTTTATTTTTGGGAAGCTTGTGTTTCGGCTCTGGTGGACATTAGTTTTAAGGCATGGTAAATGGACTGCGTTTATATAGCGCCTTTCTGTCTTATCCAGATACTCAAAGCGCTTTACACTACAATCTGTGTCCTCATTTACCCATTCATACAGCACTCTCGTAAATGAGTCCTCGAGGCTCAATGGGATTTACCTGTCTAAATAAAGGTTGAATGAACTCTACTAGATCTATACAAAGCTGATTGAACAAATCATTCTAAAGAGACTAATCCGTGCTTTATCACATTCATACACCGATGGGACACACATCGGAGACAATGAGGGGTTCAGTGTCTTGCCCAGGGACACTTGGGCATGTGACTGCTGGTGGATTCAAACCCCCAACTCTTGCATTGGAGGACGACTGCTCTAACCACTCAGCCACAGCTGCCCGCATATTGTGTCACTTCCTGTTTTCTCTGCTGGTAGCTGGAGTCATTTGTTTGTTCATCTTTGGTTTTACTGAATTTATCTGTCTCTTACATAGTTCTACATTCTAACAAGTCAGGATTCAGTCAGGATTATTGATTAATGCTAAACCAATACCATTTATTAATTTTAATTCTTTTGAGTCGTTGTCCCTCAGTTTTTCTCATCCATCAATGTTGTATGGTCTGGAGATGGTGGCACTAACAAAAAGACAGGAGAAAGAACTGGAAGTGGCAGAAATGAAGATGTTGAGGTTCTCCTTAGGAGTGACAAGG